CCCCCTGCTTGTGTTCCCTCTCTCGCCATGTCTCTGTCAAATAAATAAATAAAATCTTAAAAAAAAAAAGAAAGTATATACATTGTTTTTTTAGATATAACATTACTGCACAACTAACAGTCTACAGTATAGTGTAAACGTAATTTTTAAATGACTGGGAAAACCAGAAAATTCATTTGACTCACATTTTTTTTTAAAGATTTTATTTATTTATTTATTTATTCAGAAAGAGACAGAGTGTGAGTGGGGGTGGGTAGGAGCAGAGGGAGAGAGAGAATCTTAAGCAGGCTCCATGCCCAGCATGGACCCCAATGTGGCTTGATCTCATGACCCTAAGATCATGTCCTGAGCTGAAATCAAGAGTTGGCCATTTAATTGACTGAGCCACCCAGGCACCCCTAAAGATTTTATTTTTAAGTAATCTCAACATCCAACGTGGGCCTCGAACTTACAACCCCAAGATCAAGAATCGCACGCCCCACCAACTAAGCCGGCCAGGCACCCCTGACTCACTCACTTTATTGTGGTATTTGCTTTATGATGGTGCGCTGGGAACAGACCTGCAATACCTCTGAGGTATGCCTAGGTATGCCTGCACTCCATGAACAGTATCAAGGCTCAGAAAGTTGTGAGCCACTCATGGGAAGATTATAAGGACACAAAGAGAAAGGCAGCTTCTGAAGGAAATGGGTCCCCAGTCTTTTATGAGCAAAGGGGAACCACTCTCTTTATGGCAAACTGTTACTAAGAAGAGTACTGCATTCTTAAAACCAAGAACAGGGCTCAGGATAGGCAGGAGAGCACGACAGCAGGACCACACAGAGGGGAGAAGTTCTCAGGAAAACTGGGATGACCCCTACAGACAAGTCTCAGCCAAAGTTGGCAGATTCAACCAAGACCTGAGAGCTCCACATGTGGCTACAAAGGCAGTTTCCATCAGAGGCAGAGTCTGGGTGGCCCAACCCCACACTCACCGAATGTACGAGTCTTTCTTGCCACAGACTACACACAGGTTCTCTTTAACCATCAAGTAATAGTCTCCTGGAGATTCGGGTCTTCCTGCAGGTTCAAACTGTAGCTTGACCACAAAAGGCTCCTCACTCACCAGCTCTTAGAGAAAAGATAAGAGGTCAATGTTTGCCCACCTGTCCCTCAGGAAAGAAGCCCCACCTGAAATGTTCTCTGCAGTGTCCTGGCAGAGATCATGATTTCTGGCTTCTGAATAGCCACGTCCCACTTGTGTCAAGGTCGTTCTGCCTTCTTCTATCCCTCCCTGCCCCTTGTCTCTCTCTCCACTCCTGCCAGTACCCACGTGCACCTAAATGTAGATGAAACAGGACAGGTAAGTCTCACACCTCCAATGCCTTTGTCCAGGTACCACTGAGCTTTCCTTCGGTCACAAGTGCAGAGGGGCTGTCCATCAGGAGCATGGAGGAAGCAGTTATCATAGAGGGGTGATTTTCTGCAGGGAAAGGAGAGATTAATCTAAAACTGGAAGCTAGCTCTGGGCCAAGGTATCGGTTGCCTCCCATGTTGTCTTTTTTTTTTTTTTTTTTTAAGATTTTATTTATTTATTTGGCAGAGAGAGATTGAGAAAGAGCACACAAGCAGGGAGAGCAGCAGAGGGAGACGGAGAAGTAGGCTCTCCGCTGAGCAGGGAGCCCAATGCGGGGCTTGATCCCACATGACCTGAGCCGAAGGCAGACGCTTAACTGACAGCCACCCAGTCGCCCCTCCCATGTTGTCTTCTGAGTGACTCCAGCTATTCTCAACACTAGGGTCAAACATTATATTTATGGGAAAAAACAAATAGGGCAAAAAAAAATCATGTCTGTTCCTCCAACTGCATGGGCTAGGAACAAAAAATGAATTCATGTATCTAGTTCTTGTATTTATGGAACAAGGAGTGAGTTGGGTAGTATATACACACAGCTCTGATGTGAAAGCGAACAGGAGCAAAGCACTAAGAAAACTGCTCTACAGAGTAATCATTGGGTTAAACAAAGTCAATCAAAATTAAAGAACTTCAAGCTAAAGTAATGAGGGCCACATGGGTTTATTTCTGGCTCATACGCAATACTTGCTTCAATTTAATCATCCAATTCCTAAAGGCACTCTGCTACGGGGACCAAACTTCCACTCCAAAGTACTTATTAGTCATCTTTTTGCAACAGAGGCGTAAGTCGTACAGAAAAACTCTCACTGGTTAGAGAATGATACTGGCTTAGAGCTGGATGCCTTTCTAAATAATCAAATACCAAATGAGCAGGAAATCAGATGATGCATTTCTCCTGAAATGTATGAGGAAAATTCATGTTATTCATTTTCGCAGCTATCCTGAGCAAGCAAGGAGTAATAATTATACCCTCATTTATAACTAGAGAAGTTACAAGGCTCAGGTCATATCAGGATCAGTGACAAAGCTAGGGTAAGCTCTCCTTATATCCACTCAATTCTAAAAATTACAAAGTAAAAGAAGGGGAAAAGGAGGAAAATACACAAATAGATCAAAGGATAGCTCCAAATGTCCTTGAAGGAAAGGAAAAAATAAAATTAACCTCTGGGGAAAAAAAAATTTAACCCCTGGAGCACCTGCTACCCTACCACACAACCTTCTCCCCAGACTCAAGATGAAGCATCATGCCTTTTGCTGGAGGCTGGGCCTCTGAGCCTCTCTACCAGACAGAGAACAACTCAGTTACCTGGCCGAATAGCCCACCCCCAGGGGCTTTCTTTTATGCTTTCTGGGATCTCTCCCTTGGTGGTTGCCTGCCATCATTCCATCTGTCTTAGACTTCTTATGTCTTGGCTTCTGCTGAGCTTCTGCTGCTTCCCCATTAACCTCTTCCCCAAGTCGGCTGAGTCCTTTGCTTCGGAATGGGATGTCTACCACATCCTGGCAATTTTCCAAGACTTTTCTCCAGCCCATGTGGTCATCGTTTTCATCTAGAGTTGAATTCCTAGAGAAAGGGTATCCAAGAAGACGGAGAAAGAGAGCCACTGAAATCTGGGCATCCCTGGCAGCATAAATCACCTGAAGAGAAAAGTCAGAGATCAGTGGAATCTGGAAGGCAAACCAGAAAGTGCAATTTCCAAGTCAATCACAAAGATGCAGACAACTTTCAGGATTCTAATTCAAGATGTATAATACCCTAAGCACCATGTACTTTTTTTTTTTTTTTTAAAGATTTTATTTATTCATTTGACAGAGAGAGACACAGCAAGAGAGGGAACACAAGCAGGGAGAGTGGGAGGGGGAGAAGCAGGCCTCCCGCGGAGCAGGGAGCCCCATGCAGGGCTCGATCCCAGGACCCCGGGATCACGACCCGAGCCGAAGGCAGACGCTCAACGACTGAGCCACCAAGGTGCCCCGTGCACCATGTACTTCTTAAAAGCCTTTTATGATGAACTATTTCACACTATACAAAAGTAAACTGAATAGTATAATCAATCTTCATGTTTCTTGTCTATGTTAAAATAATGACTTACTCTGAATACTCAAAAATCCTAACCTATATAAACCCAGTGAAGTTTCTTTCTATCTGTTACCAAACCTGATAGACAGATTTTTCTCAAGTTTGGGTGAGTGTAGTCACCACAAGTTTGACAACTAGTACATGAAATTCACTTTGGAGGTGGCCATGATCTAGAACACCTGAAAACAAGATTTACTGAGAGGGCTGTGTGACTTTCAATCAGAAACAACCTGCCATTAAGATGTGGAAAACAAGCATGGGTTTCAAGCATGGGCCTCAAATCAAAAGTCACAAGGGCTCATTTCTGGAATTTATTTATTTAATAATGGTAAGCCACCCTCCCAAGCCACTGGTGACGGAAAAGCTGGTCATAAATAAAAGTAGCCAAAACTATCATTAATAGCTTTTCCCAACAAAGGAAGTAAAGACTTTAAAATTCCTTTAATTTATCTTTAGTAACCAAGCCTGGTAAGTAATACTATTAGGAAGGATTTTTTATGCTGTTTAGAATAAAATAGGTTTGGATAAAATCTTCCACCTAGACTCAACAATCTATACATCTACCAGCAGGTTGTCTCCCACAGGAAAAGTGTGCTTGAATGTTAAGAGTTTAAAGTGCTTTTTAGGGGCGCCTGGGTGGTTCAGTTGGTTAAATGTCTGCCTTCAGCTCAGGTCGTGATCCCCGGGTCCTGGGATCGAGCCCTGTGTCAGGCTCCCTGCTCAGTGGAGAGTCTGCTTCTCCTTCTCCCTCTGCCCCTCCTCCCACTCATTCTCTCTCTCACTCTCTCTCAAATAAATAAATAAAATCTTTAAAAAAAAATAAAGTGCTTTTTAACAAACTGTTAAGGAAACCAAGGCACTTTCAACAGATACTGTTGAGACAACTGGATGACCACATGTAAAAAAATAAAATTGGACCCCTACCTCATATCACACACAAAAATTAACTCAAAATGGATCATAAACATAAATGTAAGAGCTAAAACCTAAGACTTGTAAAAGAAAACATAGGAGTAAATGTTCATGACCTTGGAGTAGGCAATGATTTCTTGGATACAACACCAAAAGCATAAGTGATAAGCAAAAAAATATATTAACTGGGCATCATCAAAATTAAAACCCTTTTTGCTTCAAATGGTGACCTCAACCAAGTAAGTGAAAAGACCACCTGAAAAATGGGAGGAAATATTTACACATTATATATCTAATAAGGGACTAGTGTCCAAAATATATAAAGAACTCTTAAAAGTCAACAATATGAAAACAACTCAATTAAAATACGAGCAAAGGATTTGAATAGATGCTTCTCCAAAGAAAATATACAAATAGCCAACAAGCACATGAAAAGATGTTCAGCATCATTAGCCACCAGGGAAATGTAAATCAAAACCACAATGAAATACCATTTCATACCTACTAGTATGGCTCTAATCAAAAAGATAGACAGTAACAAGTGTTGGTGAGGATGTGGAAAATTGGAACCTTCATACTTTGCCGGTAAGAATATAAAATGGTACAGCTACTTTGCAAACAGTCTGGCAGTTCCTTAAACAATTAAACATAAAGTTTATGACCCAGCAATTCCACTCCTAGGTATATACCCAAGATAAGTAAAAACATATGACATATGTCCACACAAAATTTTATACACAAATATTCATAGTGGCATTCTTCATAACAGCCAAAAAATGAAAGCCATCCAAATCTCCACCAACTGATGAATGGATAAACAAAATGTAGTATAACCATATAATGGAGTATTGCATAGCAATAAGAAGAAATTAAGTACCAATAAATGTTATAACATGAATGAACCACAAAAACATGCAAAATTAAGAAGCCAATCACAAATGACCATATATTGTATGATTCCATTTATATGAAATGTCCAAAATAGACAAATGTATAAAGACAAAAAGGTAGATTAGTGGTTGCCTAGTGTTAGGGTGTTGTGGGGGGGATGGAATGTGACTGTAGGATGGGAAGTGACTGCTAATCAGTATGGAGTTTCTTTTTGGGGTAATAAAAATGTTCTAAAATTAGATAGTGGTGATGGTTGCACAACTCTATAAAAATACTAAAATCCATTGATTTTTACACTTTATTATTTTTTTTAAGTAGGCTCCATGTCCAACATGGGGCTTGAACTCACGACCCTGAGATTATGAGTCACATGCTCTACAGAATGGGCCAGCCAGGTGCCCCAATTTGTATACTTTAAATGCCTGAATTATATTGTATGTAAGTGATACCGCAATAAAACTGTTAAAAAAAGAAAGAAAGAAAGGAACCAAGGCACAAAGAAGTGACTTACTTAGAGTCACAGAAAGTCAGAAATAGCTGCAGAAAACAAATTCAGATAATTTGACTCCCAAACTCTCTCACAGGATAATGTTAACCTGAAGATATCAGCTAAATCTTTCCAATAACAACATTTTGGAAGGAAGAACAAGAGAAGGCTAAAATCTAGGCCTACGGGGGCGGTAAGCCAAAAATCCAAGAATCAAGTTAATTTGAGCCACAGAGAATGGCAAAGCATTAGGAATGGGAAGCACCAGGTATCTGTGAAAGTAAGTACAAGTAGGAGTGAAAACAAGAAGATAAGGTGAAAGCCTTCATAAAGAACACTTAGAACCCTAGACCTTCTCCTTTATACCACAGGGCTGGCAATAACTCCTTCTCTAACCCCCCCAAAAGGAAAAGTTTAAGTCATATAATGGCTAACTCACAGAGGATCTGGATCTAGTAACACCAGGCCTGGCATGGCGGGGCAAAGTGTCACCTGAGAAAGGGACTATGGGAAAGTATACATATGGATTGGTGAAACTACCAATACCTTTCCCCACTCAGCAACCAGAATATAAGCAAAGGGGCTTATACCTCTTGGGCAGAAAACTAGAAGATTCATCTCTGGAGAAACTGAGTAGCCTGAGAAAAAAGAGTTTCAGTTACTGACATGTGACTATGATCTATAGGTACTGATAATAAAGCCCACTGGTCCAAAAGCCCTGGCTATATTTGCTATGTTCTCAATCCATTTCTTAAAATTCAAATTTAAGTATCATTTTCTGTATCTTCTAAAATCTCATTAAGCTTTATGTTTATAATTAAAACAAAATATTGAAATAAAGAATGAACAGGGGCGCCTAGATGGCTCAGTAGGAAGAGCGTGCAACCCTTGATCTTGGGATTGCGAGTTCGAGTTGCATGTTGGGTGTAGAGGTTACTAAAGAAAATAAATAAACTTAAAAAAATTTTAAAAAAAGAATGAATAAGAGTCTTTGGAAATTCTGAATTCTCACAATAATAAGGATCACAAATTTGGCTTCAAATTTGGTAGCAATTAACTTCTCCTCCCCAACTTTTTATTTTAAAAGTTTTCAAACCTACAGAAAAGTTAAAAGAATAATAATGCCAACTGACATTCACAACTGTCAATACTTGCTTTATCTCTTTATAATATGGACACCACACACTTTTTTGTACCTGAACACATTTCAAAATTAAGTTGCAGCTATTATGATACTTCATCTCTAAATGCGTCAGCATGTACTTCTTAAGAACAAGGACATTCTTCTACATGACCTCACCATTACCACACCCAAGAACTTTAAAAGTGACAAAGTACAATAATACACAGTTCTACTAGAATGTCTCCAATTGTTCCAAACATGTCTTTTCAGATGGTGCAAGGTTCTGGATTTTTAGTAAGCTTATAGAATTGCATAGCCCATCACCACAATCAATATTAAAACACTTCCACCACCTCAAAAAGAAACCTTATTCCCTTTAGCAGTCATCCTCTACTTCTTTCAGCCCTAGGCTACCATTAATTTCTGTTGTCTCTATAGATTTATATATTCTGAACATTTCATAAAAATAGAATCTGATATGATATTTTACAACTGGCTTCTTTCACTTAGCATAATGTTTTCAAGATGCATCCATGTTGTACCATGTGTCCTTTTTATTTCTGAATAATATTCCATTATAAGGCTATACCACATTTTACTTATTCATTCAACAGTTGATGGACCCAATCAACAAATAAGGAACTCAGAGGAAAATGAAGCAATACAGGAAGAAGAAAACCTCAGAAATCTTTAATACTCTAAGATAACAGAAGATACTGTATCTATTACACAAAAACAAAGTAATTTTAAAAGTGAATATTCAGAAGAGACCAAGAATCTCTTGTCACTTAAAATTATGACAGGAATAATTAAAAATTCAATAGAAATGTTAGAAGATAAACTTAAGGAAATTTCCCAGAAGGTAAAACAAAACATACAGAGATAGAAAAATCAGGGAGAAAATATTTTTCCTAGGAAATCAGAGGATCAATTCAAGGGGGTCCAATATCCAAATAATATGAGTTCTAGAAAAAAAAGGGAGGGAAATTTTCAAAGAAATATTATGAGAATAATAATCTGAACTAAAAGACATGAGCTTCCAGATTGAAAGGGTCCACTGGCTTCTAATACTAAAATGAAAAATAGCCCACACTAATGTATATCATCTTGAATTTTAGGAACTAAGAATAGGGGCGCTTGGGTGGCTCAGCCATTAAGCGTCTGCCTTTGGCTCAGGTCATGATCCTGGGGTCCTGGGATTGAGCCCTGCATCGGGCTCCCTGCTCGGTGGGGAGCCTGCTTCTCCCTCTCCCACTCCCCCTACTTGTGTTCCCTCTCTTGCTGTGTCTCTCTCTGTCAAATAAATAAATAAAATCTTTAAAAAAAGAAAGAACTAAGAATAAAATGAAGATTCTCCAGAAAGGAAAACAAGTGACATGCTCAGTATCAATACTGGAAGCTCTAAGACAGGAACATTACCTTTGAAATTCTGAAGGAAAATGATTTTCACCCTAAACTGCTGTACTCAGTGAAAGTATCAGTTCATAGACAGTGAAGCCAATATCTTTTCAGACATGCAGGGTATCATAAATTAATTTCCTATGCTCCCTTTCTGAATGTACTCCAAGAAAAGGAAGGGAAAAGACATGGAATTTGAAAGACAGAGGATCTACTCCAGAAGAAAGGTGAAGGGACTCCCTAGGCTGAGGGTAAATGCAGATTCCAGGGTCAGAGATGGGCAGCAGGGCTCTTGGAAAGAAGCAGGATGACAAAGGGTTCTGTCTGGAAGGGACAGCTCCAAGGGAAAACAAAAGGAGTAAGTCACCTCATGTGTCAGAACCGGCCAAGAAAAGATGTAGAGTTCCATTAAAGAGTCCAGGCTTGAAACAGTTAATAGGTATATAGAAAACAAAGCAAACAAAAGTACAAATTATTACTCCTAGGAAAACAAAAAGTTGTATAAGAAAAAAACTTAATTGTAGCTTACTATGTGGCTCAGCTAAAATAATATCAATATAAGTAGATATTAATCTGATAAAAATGATGATTTAGCTATACTGGGAAGATGGGGAAGGGAAAAAGTATTTGGGGACAGAGGAATTACAAGAATATTAAATCATGTCTTCCACTGTAAGAAGTCGAAAGATAATTTAAAAAATAAGAAAGAGTAATATATGCATGTAATTTAAATATATAATGGTAATTACCAGGAAGAAATGAAATTGGTTGCCACTGAGTGGGAGGAAGACACTGTTTCTTACAATGTCTTATAACACTTTGGTTTTCTAATTATGCATTTGTATTCATAATTAAACAATTACATTTTCTGAAATGCCTGGCATATAGTAAATGCTCAAAATATAAAACACAATAGGGACTCTTACTCTGTTACTTAAGTACCATTTACAAACCAGTTATCTTCAGTGAGTCTCTTTTCAAGTATTTCCCCCCAATACTTATATTTGAAGATTACAATTACAAGAATTATACTTCATAAGCAATGGCTCTTCCATTCTTCAACTACTCTGATAAGAAGTACCTGGTCCTCGGTAAGATTCTCAGCATCCCAGTTGCTACAACGAAGCAGAAGGGACTTGTCAAGTGGAAAGTTCAAAACCGTCTCAGCAAGTGATTTCAGGCTGAGCCCATTACAGAGCAAATTGTTTCTATAAGAAATAAGTAAGTGATGTATCAAAAATGGGCAAAAGAAGAACAGGCAAATCAAAAAAGACATTTAAACGGCCAATACACAGATGGCAGACACTTAAACTCACTAGACATCAAACGAAATAAAATGAAAATTATAAATAATTTATCTATCAGATTGCAAAGATTTAAAAACAATAACTATCTACTATTGGTGGAGCATGAAGAATCAGTCTAATCTAAAATTCATGAACAGGGCGCCTGGGTGGCTCAGTTGGTTAAGCGACTGCCTTCGGCTCAGGTCATGATCCTGGAGTCCCGGGATCGAGTCCCGCATCAGGCTCCCTGCTCGGCAGGGAGCCTGCTTCTCCCTCTGACCCTCCCCCCTCTCATGTGCTCTCTGTCTCTCTCATTCTCTCTGTCTCAAATAAATAAATAAATAAAAAATCTTAAAATTCGTGAACAGTCCATTTTTATAAGCTTTATTGAAAATAGTTTAACAATAAAGAGCTTTCAAAATTTTGAACACGAAAATTCTCTGATTCAAGAATTCCACTTCTAGGAATTTATCCTAAGGACAAATGCACATAAAATGATCTTCACTGCAGTACCATTTATAGGAGCAAAGAATTAGAAACAACCTAAATGCCCATCAACAAAAGGCTGGTTAAATATCTATGCAATTAAATTCCATACAGCTATTAAAAATAAGGATGTGGATGGGGCAGCTGGGTGGCTGAGTCGGTTAAGCATCTGACTCTTGGTTTTGGCTCAGGTCATGATCTCCTGGGTCCTGGGATGGAGTCCCACACCTCTGCTGCCCTGCTGGGCTCCATGTTCAGCCAGCAGTCCACTTAATGATTCTCTCCCTCTGCCCCTGCCCCCTACTCATATGAATGCTCCCTCTTTTGCTCTCTAAAATAAATAAATAAATCTTAAAAAAAAAAAATAAGGATGTGGATCTATATTGATGTGAAAAGATGCCCATGACATATTAGTTAAGTAAAAAGAGACTGTGGGAGAAAACATATGTTGTGGTCCCTTTATGTTAATATATATACCACATTCCAGATATATGTGTATGAGTCTAGTTATGAGAGAAACAAAGCACAAAGAGATAACTAGAAAGGTATCAATCACATGTTAGTGATATTATCTCTGGGTATGGGATTTGTGGTGATTATCTATCTTCTTTATATGTTTCTACATTTGCATTGGCTAGTATTCATGTAATTACTTTTCAAATTTGAAAACTGAAGGTACAAAAGACAACAACCTTTCTGCCCTTCAAACACTTTCTGATTAAAATACCTGCAGGGTGGCGGAAAAAATTAATTTGTCCAAGGTTCAGAGATTCCAAACAAGAAATAAATGTGAAATTAAGAACACATTGGTCTACACAAGTGGAGCTGACTTCCTGGCTACCAAGTGAGAGACTAGAAGTTTTAGAACAGGAAGCTTAGAGGTGGGGGTTCACATCAGGGTTACTGCAAGCAGGACTCCCTCAGGTACTGTAGGAAATGAAATCATTATAATGATGAAGAAAAGGAAGTCTTTCCCTACCAAAACCAGCAGTAATTGATGGATTTCATTACCCCCAAAGGCAGTACTGACTAAAAAGTAAAAACAGGTCCAGACATACTGAGGGAAAAATACATAATGTCTTGGTTCAATTAATGAAAATTAAGGCTTTGGGAGACAAAAAACTCTCTTCTGTTTTGTTGGAAATTATAAAAGTAATGAATGCTTATTATTAAAAGTTCAGACAACAGGAAAGCATCACAGGTGAAAAGTAAATGTCTATCGCCCCATACTTCCACTCCTAAGGAATAATGACTCCTAACAGTAGGCTGTGGCCCCTCCAGACCTTTTCTTTTTTTTTTTAATTTAATTTTATTGTGTTATGTTAGTCACTATACAGTACATCATTAGTTTTTTGTTTTTTGTTTTTGAAGATTTTATTTATTTATTTGACAGAGAGAGACACAGCGAGAGAGGGAACACAAGCAGGGGGAGCAGGAGAGGGAGAAGCAGGCCTCCCGCCAAGCAGGGAGCCCGATGCGGGGCTCGATCCCAGGACGCTGGGATCACGGCCTGAGCCGAAGGCAGATGCTTAACGACTGAGCCACCCAGGCGCCCCAACATCATTGGTTTTTGATGTAGTGTTCCATGATTCACTGTCTTCGTATAACACCCAGTGCTCCATGCAGTACATGCCCTCCTTAATACCCATCACCGGGCTAACCCATCCCCCCACCCCCCTCTCCAGACCTTTTCTATGCACAAATAGATAAACTGATGGTTAAGCGGAGGAGGAGATTACATGTTTTTGGTATCTGTTCTGGTTTTTGCTCTGCAATGTGCTGTATTACTTAATATATCAGATACTTCCATTCATGATAAGTATAAATGTACTTATTTCATTCTTTTTTTTTTTTTTAAAGATTTTATTTATTTATTTGACAGAGAGAGACACAGCGAGAGAGGGAACACAAGTAGGGGAAGTGGGAGAGGGAGAAACAGGCTTCCCGCCGAGCAGGTAGCCCAATGTGGGGCTCAATCCCAGGACCCCAGGATCATGATCTGAGCCAAAGGCAGACGCTTAACGACTGAGCCACCCAGGCACCCCTATTTCATTCTTTTTAATAGCTGTATAATTTTTCAAGCACGGCTATTCTTTAATTCTTGAAATCATTACCCCCGTTGAAGGACAGTACTTAATTTTTAAGCTACTTGATTCCATTTAGGTCATTAGTCTTTTTTTAAATGTCGTATTTGGAAAGGTTGCACGTTTCTTGAGAATTAATTAAAAACAAGATGCCATCTTTGCCGTTTCAATTCAACAGGAAAGATTCCAAAGTCATATACAACAATCTCTATAATAAATTACCTCTGGGTAACATATAACACAAAATCTAAAGAGTAAGAGGAAAAGCATTACCAAAAAATGTGCTCCTCCCAACGTCAATTGAAAGTAACAACTACTTATGGCAAATGTCAGGAGCAACCTATAGCTAATAGAGCGAAGTATAATCTTTGCACTATAATGTCAAATCTCTTAAACTATAATGGCAAAAGCTTCTAATTTTACTACTAAAGTGTTCAACAATAAAATAATAATAATTTTTAAAATGTTTTTAAAAATCTCATTAAACACGGAAAGGCCCAATAAATACTTCATTCTTATTTCTAGAGAAGTTCATGGTAATATTCAGCTTTGGCCAAATTCTTATTTTGATGCGTGGTCATTCTGCGCTTAGTGAAATGGAGAATTTGTGCACCTCTCATTTCTATCTATTCATGGAGAGGACTGTAATTGCACAGAAGAGATTTGGAAGGACGCACTGATCGATGAGGGCTCTGAGGAAGGTAGGGACAATGACAACAATGACGAGGACATTAATAAGAGCCAAACACAGCAGTATACCGCACTGTCTCTGGGTGACACACTCCTTCCAAGTTCTTCACGCAGTTTAACTCTTGCAATCCTCACACCAATCCTGGGAGGCGGGAACCTAATTATTGCTGCAGATTAGGGAAGTGAGGGACAGCCACCGCACAGCCCACTCCAGGGTCAACTCTTAGCTCCTACACCCACCGCCTCTAACAGAAGAGAGTGACAGCGGACACCTCTGGGGAGGTGGTGCCCGTGGGGGAGTGGGGGGGGAGGCCTGGTGAGAGGTGCCTGTTGGGGTGACACTCTAAATACTTTCACAGATTTAAATTTTTCTTACAGTAAATATGTCAATGTATTTCTTGAAAACGCTTGATAATTTACAAGCGTTGTATTTACATAAGACAAACTACTAAGCTAAAATAAAATTCCATTTTATACTAAAAAATGGTAAGAAGAGATTTTTTTTTTAAGTTTTTTGTGTATTTTTTTTTAAAGATTTTATTTATTTATCTGACAGAGAGAGAGAGCAAGTAGGCAGAGAGACAGGCAGAGGGAGAGGGAGAAGCAGGCTGCCCGCTGAGCAGGGAGCCCGATGCGGGGCTCGATCCCAGGACCCTGGGATCATGACCTGAGCCGAAGGCAGACGCTTAACCGGCTGAGCCACCCAGGCGCCCCGGGATCATGACCTGAGCCGAAGGCAGACGCTTAACCGGCTGAGCTACCCAGGCGCCCCGGTAAGAAGAGATTTTAATCAGGCCTTCTCTTAGTTTATCAAATCCTCTGAACTTTTAATGTCAGTGTCATTTGAGGTAGGGAGAGAGGCTACCTCACTCCACATTATTAAAATGAGGACACACACACACACACACACACACACTGGCACACATGAGAAGGTCATTGCCACTCCCTGAAAAACAAGTTAGAATAGAATTTCCCTAAGAATAGAATTCCAAGGAAAAGGGAAATCTCTCTTTCTCCCAGTAACTTTCTCCCACTACTTTTGGCCTAAAGCAGGGTTTGCAGACTCAAATGTTTATCAGGAGGAGTTGGGGTTACAGTGGATGGGAGAGGTGGGGACTCTGGCGATTGAACAGAGCATGGGCATCTAAAGACACATACCTCTCCCCAGCAATTGTTACCATCTAGAACCCCTGACCTTGTTTAGTCAAATCATCTGATTTTTCAGATGCCCCAAATACAGACTTTTACATCAAATCTTCTGGATTTAAACTAAAAATTCCCAAAAATATCATATGGGGAGCGGCGCCTGGGTGAAGCGTCTGCCTTCAGCTCAGGTCATGATCCCAGGGTCCTGGGATCGAGTCCCGCGTCGGGCTCCCTGCTCAGCGGGGGGCCTGCTTCTCCCTCTCCCACTCCCCCTGCTTGTGTTCCCTTTCTCACTACCTCTCTGTCAAATAAATAAAAATAAAATCTTTAAAAATATATATATATCATATGGGGAAAAAATAAATAAAAGCAAAAGCAAAATGTGAAGCCCTAATTTAGCCAGTGGTGCCATCAGTTTACAACCTGTAGCTTATGGAGACACCTTATCGATGTTTCATCTAAGAAGACCAATCCTAGGTAACTAAAGTTTTCTCAGAAGCTGGAATATTTCCTCACAAATTTATATGCATCTCAGAAGCCTCTAGGCTTCTAAAAAATTTTGGATGCTTCCTTACTGTTCTCAGTACTCCACAAATCTTGCTAAGATATTTGCCCCACAGCTCCAGGAACCCCAGCATTCATACAACCCTACCTCTGCCTCATGGCTAGGTACCGGAGGTCCAGGCACCCCTTAACCATGAGGCCGTAGTCCTGCAGAAGCTTGCTGGCATCTTCTGAACATCCTACTCCAACTTTTAAAATAGTGCCATCTGCCAAAATGTCCAACAAAGTTTTTGGTAGTGTTTTTCCTCCACAGATCAGCTTTGGCAAGCGAACTAAGACACAGAAGCCACTTGGGGAGGCCATTTGAAGGAGTGACAGAGGGCTGGCTTTGCCTTCCGAATTCACCTGCAACAGAGGAAAATAGGGAAACAGGTCATGCCCTACCACAGCACCAAGTACAACATGAAACTGGCAAAAAAGTCTAAGAGGGACATCCTTAACTTCCCAAAGGAAGTGGCTGACCAAATTTTGGTTCAAATAGAAGGATGAGCCTATGCTAACAAATGCAATGGACTCTGTGAAGCAGCAACCTAAACAAATGTGAGCCTGAAATGTGAGCAGTCCAGAAAGAGTGACACAGAGGAGAGCTGGCTGAGTCATGTGAAACGTGCTGGTTTTAAAAGTCTAAGTGAAGGGGCGCCTGGGTGGCTCAGTCATTAAGCGTCTGCCTTTGGCTCAGGTCACGATCCCAGGGTCCTGGGATCGAGCCCTGCATCGGGCTCCCTGCTCGGCAGGAAGCCTGCTTCTCCCTCTCCCACTCCCCCTGCTGTGTTCCTTCTCTCGCTTTGTCTCTCTCTGTCAAATAAATAAATAAAATTCTTTAAAAAAATTTTAAAAATTTAAAAATAAAAGTCTAAGTGAAAAAAGGCTAAGGAGTAGAGTGCCAAATGATAAATACATACTTTTCATTATCCAGACTCTCCAACATGCGTGCTAGGAATGCTACTCATTTACCATGTCGTTACTGCCTCAAGATCCAATTTTTGACAACAGGTAGAAAATACAGTACTATAAGTAAGTGGTACCTGCCAATAAAATAAATCCTGGTAGCACAAAATGCTTTCTCAGCATTTTATGATCACAAATGGTGTTCACTAAGGAAAAAAAAGGTATATTGAGCATAAGCTAGGATCCTTATATCTTGAGAAGAAAATCACTTCATATATTAACTGATTTAGTTTTAGGGCGCTTGGGTGGCTCAGTTGGTTAAGCATCTTCGGCTCAGGTCATGATGCCAGGGTCCTGGGATCAAGTCCCACATGGGGCTCCCTGCTCAGTGGGGAGCCTGCTTCTCCCTCTCCTCCCTGATCGTGCTCTCTCTCGCTATCTCTGTCGCTATCTCTCTCTATCTCTGTCGCTATCTCTCTCTCAAACTGACTTAATCTTTTTGAGGTAACAGGTAAGTTGGAGAAAAAAGCTGAAAGCTAAGAAATTATTCCCAGAAAAATTTACTTGCAAAGTTCACATTAATGAAAGATCCTCTAAAGCTATCCCACAGAACCCAAGTTAAACATCCAAGAAATCCCAATCCTCATTTTTTGGGAGAAGAAATTTAGGACCTACATGTGAAGCAGTTTGCCTACACATGCAGGCATAATGACAAAGTGAGGACTAGTACCAAAATTCCCTGATCTAGGGCACCTGGGTGGCTCAGTTGGTTGAGCAGCGGCCTTCGGCTCAGGTCATGATCCCAGAGTCCTGGGATTGAGTCCCACATTGGGCTCCCGGCTCAGCGGGGAGCCTGCTTCTCCCTCTGACCCTCTCCCCTCTCATGCTGTTTCTCTGTCTCTCTCTCTTTCTCTCAAATAAATAAATAAATAAAATCTTTAAAAAAAAAAAAATCCCTGATCTAGAAGGGCAGTTCTCAACCGAGATTCATTTGCACCCCTTCCACTACCCCAGGGAATATGGCAACATCTATAGAAATTTTTGGTTGTCACAAGTTGGGGGATGGGGTGCACAAGTATCTAACTGGTAGAGGTCAGACTGCCAATAAACATCCTACAACGTACGGGATAGCCGCTCACAACGAATCACCTGCCCCAGCTATTTACAGTGGGGAATCCCACTCTGGGCAGTGTGGTGCTCTCACTACCACGGATCATCACGCCAGGCCCTGTGCCACGCGCCACTGTGGCTATAAACTTACGCAAGAGATGGAACGTGACTCAGGGATTACAGCCTTATTGGTAGAGTACAATACACACAAGCTCACACCATCAGAAATGACACGGTAAATACCAAAGGAGTGGTTCAAACAAAGTGTTACAAGTAACCTGAGGTAGGATATTTCATAGCTGAGATGACCAAAACCACAGAGAGGAGATAGTCACAGAGCTGCTGTTAGAAACAAAACTCAGGCGGGCGCCTGGGTGGCTCAGATGGTTAAGCGTCTGCCTTCGGCTCAGGTCATGATCCCGGAGTCCTGGGATCGAGTCCCGCATCAGGCTCCCCGCTCTGCAGGAAGTCTGCTTCTCCCTCTGCCTCTCTCTCTCTCTCTCTCATGAATAAGTAAATAAAATCTTTAAAAAAAATAAAATAAATAAATAAATAAATAAAAAAGAAACAAAACTCAGAGAGCCCTCGTCTTTGACTTCTACTTCACGAACTCATAAAAAAATGTCTGGGACATACATACATATATAAATATGTATTTATATATTATAAACATGTAGTACTATTTGTAGTACTATATTAACATGTTATAGACATTATTAAACATACACAAAAGTAAAAACTTTTAATGAATGATGCCATCAAAAATCATAGACAAAATTTCTAACACTTTTTCCGTATTTCAGTGATTCACTTAGACAGCGATGATTTAGAATCTCCTTTCTGAGGGCCAGTGGATCATCCATTTTGGCTTCAGGAAGTCTAGAGCTGATAAAACTTTCTGGAAAAGCCCACAATTCTTTAAATGACCCCACGATGGCAGCAGAGAGTAAAGAATGATTTGGGACCATCTTCTGGGCTTTGAACAGATTAATGAGCAACCTTAGTCTATAGAGTTTATGGTATCAGTTAAATTTAGACCATGTCTTTGAGATACAAATGAGTTTGTCCTTTTCAAGTGACAGAATAAAGGCTTAATAAGCCTGGCAAGTAATAATAAGAGGATGAGAAAAAAAAAATAGGAGGATGGAAAGAGAACAGGAGACAAATCAGAGATGCTGAGAGAAGCCAGAGCACCTAAGTCCTTAAGTACAGATAAGTAAGACACGTCGGTTTTATGCAAAGCAATGAAAGGGTTTTAAGCAGAGGACTGACATGGTCTGACTTTCATTTTTAAAAGTTCACTCTGGTTACTAAATGGAGGGGGGATTGTAGGTGCACAGGGGTCCAAGCAGGGAGGACAGTCAGGAAGGTTCTACAAAGGTCCAGATGAGAGTCACGTGAGGCTTGGGCTAGGGAGGAAGCAGAGAAGATGTAGAGAACTAGATGGAGGCAATGTCTATTTTGGAGATAGCACTAGGTACTATTACTAGAAAGGGGTTAATGGTAAGGAAAAGGAAATAGACCTCCAGTAGGCCTGAAGCCTGGGCCTGCAGAACAATGCTCTTCCGAAGATAACCTTCACTTCATTCAATCTTTGTTGCACCAGTTATTTGCACCTGTTGATCAAGGATATCTGTAGCCAGAGACTCTAGAAAATATCAGGCAGGAGACAGGGGCCAGAAAGATATTTAACACCTCCATCCCCACCTTCCCAAGAGAAAGGCATGTTTTACCTTCTAAAACACAGCAGAAACCTCATTTTGTACAAGTGATTTATGCATAATTGTACATTACCATGGGTAATTCAGCGGGGTCTGGAAACCCATACCTCTACCTCTATCTGGTAGCATGCTGTGTTATTTCCTGTTTCTGCAACTACTTCTCTGAATTTCTATATATTTTGCCATTGAAGAAACCCAGCATTCCATAACCGCCTGTTGGTGTCTTTTTTTTTTCCTTTTTCTTTTTTTCTTTTAAGATTTTGTTTAGTTATTTGAGAGAGAGAGGGAGAGAGAGAGTACCAGCGGGTAGGGGCAGAGAGAGAGGGAGAAGTAGGTTCCCCGCCGAGCAGGGAGCCCCACATGGGGCTCGATCCCAGGATCCTGGAATCATGACCTGAGCCGAAGGCAGACGCTTAACTGAGGCACCCAGGTGCCCATGTGTCTGACTTTAAATCTTATCATTTCTGTTAGTTAGCCCTTTGGGGGTTGGATGTTTCCCTGATGTTCATCTTAAAGGTGGAGAAGACTAAGGATAATACAGATTTAGGAAGAAAACTCAAGAGTTCTTTTAGGAACGTGTTAAGTTTGAGATGACTATTAGACACTGAAGGGAAGACATCAAGTAGGTAGGTGGATCTAAAAGGCTGGAGTTCTAATTTTGAGAGTCATCAGCGTATCAATGATATTTAAAGCTATAAAACAGATGAGCTCACTTAAGAGAAGAATGTAGATAGAGGACATAAATTAGTGGTCCATGGACACATCTGCTGATCCACAGACACATTTAATATTATTATTGTTTTAGTCTCCACGTATTTAAAAACTTGCACCAAAATTTAAAAATTAGTGAAGTTCACATGTTTAAAAAATTTATATTCCAAGTTTCTCTGAAAGAACTGGACAACCTGGCAACACTTGGCTTGACCTATATGGCAGCTTCCTCATTTTTTTAAGGCATGAATTCTTTAATTCACCATAATGTCTTCTCAACACTGAAGCCTGCCGCCCTCCCCACCACCCCAACCACCACCACCCCTCCCCACCCCTGCTTGAGATCATGACCTGAGCCAAAGTGGGACCCTTAAACTAACTGAGCCTCCCAGGCACCCCACCACTGTTTTTCTAATAGAAAGAAATATTTCTCAGGATCCATGTCTCTATTAAAGCTAGGAAAATAAAAGATCATAGAGGCCTTGTATTTAAAGAAAAAAAGGGAGGGAGCATATTTCTTTATGAAGTTTAAGAATATCTCTATATGCTCAAAAAATGCAAACAATCACTCCACATCTTCATTTACATTTCCCATCTGGAACTTGTAGGCATGAGTTTGCAATCCCTGGGGTAGACAGAGAAGAGACCAAGCCTGAGCCACCTCGGTATTTAGATGTGAAGTAAAAGAGAGATCAGAAGACAAAAAAGAGTAAAGAACAGTATGACAGAAGACAGGAGAGTGTGAAGACATGAAAACCAAGAAGAATGTCTTATGTAGAAACTATGCAGATGCTTTTGAGAGCTAGAATAGCACGAGTCCACATAAGTGTCTGCTGGATTGAAAACAAGAAAGCCATCAACTTGATCAATTCCAGTAGGGTAGTCTAGTAGGTCAGATTAAAGTAGTTTGAAGAAC